AAATATTTTGATAATTGTCTATCTATTGTTTATTTCAATTAGGCCCTTAGACGCAGTTTTTGACGGGCTTTAATCTGGTATAAAATAGTTGATTATATCATTGATTCATTATGTCGCTAAGGGGGGGGCGTAAAGGTTTTTTAACACCCTATAGTAACACACATTATTTTTTACAGTGTACTTGTTAACGAAATGAGAAGGCACAGACTATCATATAGTACTCATAACATCAAAGTTTATAATGACAACGTTCGACAATATACTCATAAAAATGTTTTTACTATCTCAGATCAGAACAAATCATAATTATTTCACACCCACCTTATTCCACGGGTCCAGTACTATGTAGTTTTCAGATACTCTATTTAATTGATAACCTTGAGCAATCAAACGGCACCTAATTATGGCCTTAAGTGCTGCAACCAAAATGATGACATTTTTTAATCAAAGATGATTCGAAAAAAACTTCCAATAAATGCCTTGAAACCAATTGATTATGGGTGAGTAATGATGCTTACTGGATCAAATAATTGCTGAAGTAAATGCTTGATTAACTCTATTCTGTGGCGTTCTGTCTGTAAATGCCAGTACTTTTAATATGGCCTAAGTATATGGATATAGGTTCATCCAATAAAACTATAAATCGTTGAGGATGCTAATCGTTTGATTTATTTTTGAATGAATATTTTACTCTCACTCTATCAATAAAGACATTTTTCAATGACTTTATCCTATTTTAGATTTTAAGTTACTGAGGAATTCCATTAATGACAGAAAAATGTGATTATTGCAAAGTGGAATACACAGTATTTAGACGAAAAGTACGTATTAATTGCAAGATGAATGTGTTTCATAGCGACTAAGAAAATCCGCCTCTTTCTGAAGAAAAATCTTACCTGTTCAATACTAAAAAATGTCATGATTTCTGCTAACATACAAAGTTAAATATTATTTGACTATTCGATGATTTTTCTGTTTGTTGAAAAAATATCACCATATGATATAGAAATAATGAAGAAATAACTCAGCTTTTTTGTCTGCTTATTTTTGTTCACAAACAGAAATTTGTATAATTTTTTAGAAACTGTGCACAATTTGTCATCAATTATTTTGTAAACGATGTGCATATCGGTTAAACTTATTTTCTCCACGAATATGTTGTATTTGTCGTTCAATCGAATCAAATACAAAAGACAAAATTGAACAATTATCTTTGATTAAAGTCAAGCATTTACGAGCTTATTTAGAGGGAAAACATGTTGCAAATGTACGCACCTGCATTGAAAAAAAAGATCTTATCGATCTGATATTGAAACATTTAGAGCATCAACATTGCTTTCCATTCGAGTTAGACATGATATCAACAGCCGAAGATGGTTTTGTCCATGTTGAACAACGAGCATCAGCAACGATTACAGAATCTAATTCAACATCTTACTCAAGTCGTCGTCGAACATTATCATTATCCACACCACTCAACTTACCAAATGAAACAACACTTCCCACAAACATCAACGAGAATAACGTATTTTTCTTTACCTTCTTAAGAAAATGGAATTGGTCAAATTTTTCTCTTTCTAGACGACAGATACAGAAATCCGTGCTGCCGTTGATCAAGATCAGCTACAACAACAGTCACGTCTTTGTGAATCATTGAGTGACTTGTCAAACGAAGAGAATGTTGACGAATCATCAACAGATAATCCAACATCTTATTCAAGCCATCAACGAACATCATCATTACTCACACCACGCATCGCTCCAGTCGACATACTACTTGTTCCAGATATCAATGAAAACCAAGTATATCTTCATTACATGATTTTAATCAATTTTTACGAGCTTCTAAGTTGTACTGGATTATAATAGTCTTTTTTCTTTCATATAATCCTTATTGTCCATTCATTTCTCTTTTGACTGGTGTATTTGGATTGTCCTCTGCTACTCTCTTTAACGAAAACATTGAGAATTTTCAATGTGCCATCTAAACTATATATTTCAAATGCGCAGTTGTGTGAATCTACGATTCAATGAGTAAGAAAACTGAATGTAAAATAATTATCTCGTCATATTTTGTTTCTTAATCGACTCCGCTACGACGGCGTATTGAAATTTCTCAATATATTCTTCAAAGAGATTTGCTAACGACAATCCAGATACATAGTCGAAAAAGCAGTGGACAGATAACGAGGGTGTATGAAAGGAAAAAGATTAATGTAACTCAGCACAACAAAGTAAGTCTTGAAAAATCAGTTACAAAATTCTAGTGTATCTACTAGCTCTCTTAAAAAATTTCAGATATTTTTTCCTTTTAGACAAACAATGAAACTCGAGCTGCTATTGGTCAAGAACAGCAAGAACCACATCGACGTAAATCGTTGAGAGATTTGTCGAATGAAGAGAATATTAATGATTTGACTGTAAAAGAACTTAAAGAGATTTTGGTTGTGAATTTTGTTAATTACAAGGGTTGTGTAGAAAAACATGAATTAATCGCAAAAGTCAGACAACTCTATCGAGACAAAACGATACAAGAACAAAAAGGTAAGCAGTTACATGAATCTTATGAACTAAATAATATTATCCTGTTTACTTTCAGCTAAAGTTCAATTGGAGAATGGAAATGATGATATCTCAGATGATACTGTGTGCAAAGTGTGTATGGATGCACAAATTGATTGTGTCTTTCTCGATTGTGGACACATGTGCACGTGTGTGAAGTGTGGAAAAGTGTTAGCTGAATGTCCCATGTGTCGGCAGTATATTGTGAGAGTTGTGAGAGTTTTCAAAGCTTGATTATTTTTATTTTCTGTGAATATGTGTAGCTTTATATTATAAATAAACTTTAGTTATGTATGATGTTTTCATGTTCAGTAACTGTTAGTAATCAACGTTTACATCTTTTAATCTATCATGATACAGTAAGTCCGTACTGGCGTTTTTACGTGCGACACTACAGCGAATAACACACTGCGCAAAATTAATTTTTCCACTCTGAATACTGAACATCTAATTGCTAGTGCTTCGAAGTTTTCGAAATTAATCGATCATCTAATTAAAAACTTTTTCATATAGAGCAACGGCAAAAACTTCTATATGACTAATCAGCCAATTGTTTTGTTCAGTATGAATCTAAAAAGTAGGTATACAAGTGGGACATGCCATTTACATACATTTTACACTTCATAAACTAAAAGAACGTCTGTCGTTAAGTCAATTAAAGCCGAAATTAACGTTTATTTTGATGAATTTTCACATTTTCAGTCGTTGTAATCATTAAACGATTCATATATGTGGGTGGGAGTATGCATTCTTAGCGTTATCGCAGCTCTTAGATGAAAGATCATGTACAATGTGAAAACATCTCAAAATATTCAACACACTTTGCTCTTCACTTTAAAATGTTGCAGAGCTCGAGATCTACTTTCGTTCGAAAACTATGAAAGAGACAAAATGCAGAAAAAACGTTACGGAAGGACATTGCAGTAACGGAGTTACTTGGCCAAGCCGAGTAGACAATATCACTAGTTATAGTATGAATGTGTGGATATAGAAGATGTAGGCCTATAGGACGCGCCGGGTATACAGGACTACTAAATAATTTTAGGAGCAGTGATAGTATGAATAGGCAGGTATATAGATTGTAAGGATGTAATCGTCGGGTGAGACGTGTGGAAACATAGAGACCAGTGATGAAAAATATTGTTCAAATGATTCACTCTGACGAAATATTCAGTGGTCGTCTGATCCATTTACATATAACCAGTATATCTACGCCGTTGATAACATAGGACCTTTAAGACCGATCGATGAATTCGCAGCAATTTTTTACAATTATACAGAAGTTAAAATAGTACAATCTATAGAATAGATTATACGATTTGAGTTAAAAATTATTTTGAAACATCAGTCTCACGAGGAGTCATATTAAAATTTCGTTCAGAGACCTAAGAAGTAATGGAAATTTTATGGACTATGTAGTTGAAAAATGGACCTTTCTTAAGATATACTTGTAAACGTTCCCAATGGATTTGTGAAAGTTACAGAGGCATGCAAAATCTTAATTTTTTCATCATTTTTAAATATACTAGGCTATCTTCTGCATGATGAACAAATAGTTTGAATAACTTTTCAATTAAAAGTAGACAACTTCCTAAGACTAGTGAAAATTTTCTGTTTCATTTTACCTATGATCATTTTACACTTAAACAACTCAATATTTTAGTTTCATAAAGTTTTCTTTCCTTTCGTATGTATTCAAAACTTTTCCTTATACATAGTCTGATTGAAGCCTTTTCTTCAAAATGACTCGTCTCCCAGAATTTCCCATGAGTGTTGGTGGAAATATAAGCATCACTGGAAATACCCTAAAAAGTGACCTGTGTACAAAATGCATTCTTAAAAAAATAAAAAAACACATTTTGTACACAGGTAACACGACCTCCCTGCATACATTGAAATAGAATAGATTCAAAAGAGGACCCATCTATGAGAATCATTTGATCTCTAACTCTTCATAACTTTTGAATTCAAAAAGGGTGATATTGGTCTCTTACCACGCAGACCATGACTTAATTGCAAGAGTCCTTCATAAACGCAGAACGAGTTTTAAGATAAGAATAGGCTTGCCACTTCTTGTTTTGTTTGTCGACAATAGTAACACAGACACTGTTTATAACTTTTTTCTTTTGTGCCGTTTAATGCTCGAGCTCAAATTATTTCCTTCACAGTCACATTTTTGATTTAAAATTTATCTATCAACAATTTTGACTCTCTAGTAGTTTTGTGTTCAATACACGAAAGCCAGGCAAGGTTTTTGATTTACTTTTGGGCAAGTCTAAAGATTTTCCAGTCAGTAAGAAATCGAATGGGGTGCATGATAAAATTAGTTTTGACCTGTGAGCATTTATCGATGAATTGTTCTTGCTTTGGTTCTATTTGCGTTCTTAATCAAACCCAAAGTCTGACATTTTGTCTATGTTACCAGAATATAATTCTCCATCAGCTTGACTATCATCATCACTCAAAAAAAAAGATCGAGTTTACTTGTCTTTTTTAAAATGCATTTTATACACAGGTCACTTTTTAGGGTATTTCCAGTGATGCTTATATTTCCACCAAAACTCATCGGAAATTCTGGGAGGCGAGTCATTTTGAAGAAAAGGCTTCAATCAGACTATGTATAAGAAAAAATTTTGAATACATACGAAAGGAAAGAAAACTTTATGAAACTAAAATATTGAGTCGTTTAAGGCTCTGAAAGAAAAACTCAAAAAATTCAATAACTTTCCCCAAGAAGCAATAAGAACTCAAATCTTTCTGGGCTTTTGACTAGAACACTATACAGTATCTATTGGCATCATCGGGCATCTGAAGAGGTTCGCTCGTTAGATGGATTCTACAAATTGGCAGATTCTGGTTCAGTCCTATTTATATTCTGGTAGAATCAGAATTCGAGTTCTACGAGAATTGGACGAGAATCTGCCAGTTCGTGGAGAGAATGTAAAAGAGAGGAGGAGTGACAGTAAGTAGCAACACTTTCAATTCTGAAATTTCTACGAAACTGCGGAACTTGCTACCACCCAGTTAGCCTAGACGTCTTTTTTAACTATCATTTAAGCGAAGCACCTGAAGGTACGTAAAGAAAGTTTCATTTGATTAAAGAGGCGCAATTATATACCAATTATGTATTCAAGTTTCATATTACCTTGATGTTATACTAGTAGGATATATCTATATGAAACAAACTTATAAAACTGAATTTAAGATGAATACTTTGGCCTTGACATTGTTTATGTAATATTTAACATCAAATAATGACGTTGTATATTCTATCACCACTAGTAAAACTATTTAATCGAATAATAAAATCATCGTTGTACGATTTTATCACCAAATATGAAACATCAGAAATTGTTACTATACATTCGTTGAAACTTAGTTTACTATTACGTATAACTCAACTTGTAATTGTAATCTACAGTCTTGTTTTTCTTCTTGTCCGTAAAAACGGTCATCAGAAACAAGACTAGATATCCGTATTCATACTGAAATACCGATACTGGAAATACCGAACACCAATTCTAATAAGATCATTAAAAAAAGTTATAGTAATTAGAAAAAAAGAATGTATTGCTTCGTTCTTTTATATCCTACTGGATCGAATGTGTCTGCGTACTCAAGCACGCACTCGAAGAAGGAAGAAAAAAGAAAGTGACACAATTTTGAATCACATAACGAAATAAGAAATCTTTTTATTTCAGTGGATCAGAACGATCCTCTATCTCTTACCGTTAAATATCTTCTCAAATGTGACACGAATCTTCCTCGAATTTTTCATAATACAAATTAGGGTATTTTTGACGGTGTGTAGTGGGCGTTGAAAGTTGACCAGTTATAACAGTGTGTTCGCAAAGTAGTAATACACAAAAGATCTTTGCATGACATAGTGTGTGCAATAAAAATGTATGTGTTCAGATAAGAAGCGCGATGAGAACTAAAAAGAAGGCCAGTCTTACCACCATAACCATCAATGAATTAGTTACTTGAAAAATGCTATAAATCAAAAACAGACGAAATTTGCATAATGCATAACTTACGAGGGAACGTTCTTAAGTGTCCCCTCGCTTTTTCAACGAAACCTAGTCGGTTATAGGTTATCGATGATGCTGATTCCGAATATGAATATGAGAGTTGGTCTTAGGGCTTCGAAAGCCGGTTTTTCAGAAACTCTGAAGGACAACCAAAGCTTTCCTTAATGAGTCATGCTTGTAGCCTGCACATTTCTGATTAAAATGAGATCTCTTCCAACTCTACATGACCTTTCTTTGCAAAGTAATAAAATTCACAAGAAAAGTCCTAAATATTCATTGTCAATTCAAAGCTACAGAAATAAGAAGAAATTAATTCAGGGCTTTTCTTGTAAATTCTATAACTTTGCAAAGAAAGGTCATGTAGAGTTGGGCGAGGTCTCATTTTAATGAGAAATGTGCGGGCTACAAGTATGGCTCATTAAGGAAAACTCTGGTTGTCTTTCAGAGTTTCTGAAAAACTGGTTTTCAAGAAAACCGGATCTTCGAAGCTCTAAGAGCAGCTCTCATATTCATGTTCGGAATCAGCATCATCGATAACCTATAACCCACTAGGTTTCGTTGAAAAAGCGAGGGGGCACTTAAGAACGTTCCCTCGTTATAGCGGTTCTGGAAAAAAAATTGACGATGACTGCTCTATAGCTCTATTAATGGAGAAATAATGTACTCTCAGAGAAATTAACTAGCTTTTGCGATTCAGTTCCTTTCTTCAAGGCCTGAATACAGAGGGTAAAGCTGGTATCTACACGTTTTATACAGCTATAATTCATTACTTTTCCAAAAGTACTTATTTACCATCGGAACTTATTTTAAATTGGAAAAGCAACGAACGTACTCGTTCTGAGAAATTTAAACCGTTTTTGCATTTTGTGTTTTGAATGGTACAAAGACGATAAAGTCAAACAGTGTCTGTTCATTTGGTGGCTATTATTTAGATCATACTGTAACCTTATCTCGTGCTCACTTAACAGATATTTCAACTTCTCTAAGCTTGATTCCAGAAAAGGCTGTAAACCAGGTGAAAATTAAAATCTCTTGCTTTAAATAGAGCACTATTGTCAGTTTGAAGAGTCATCTTCATATTATTCGGATAACTGATAAACTTGTCCAAGGTTATTACATAACTTTGCTAGCGCGGAGGTTCGAACTCAGTACCTTTGAAGTATATGACGAAGAACTATCAACCCATGCTGCCTAAACCGAGAGAATCAGCCGAAAAACCTTGAAAAAAGAACACAGCTCTCAGCACTATACAATCACTTTTCAGCTATGCACCTGCAGCGCGGAAAGTCGCACAACCAGCTCTTTTTCCTCGGTTTTTCTTAGTCGAATGCGCGATGGAGATTTTCGTTGCGTTAGTAATTTATACGCACATTTTTTTCGTGGCTGTGTCTCTTTCTATTGAAATGCCTCTACACAAGGTGCATCCAGACGTTCATTGGTCAATTTCAGGCATACATATAGGGCTGTCCAAATTAAGGTGAATAAAATGACTCATTGCATTTTAGAGAAACGATTTCGAATTTCGAGAATCTTGGAAATTATTTATAGAAAATCGGTCGATTATCTATAAACTAGAAATTAATTCTAGACTACAGTGTAGCAGCAGAGTATAAGGGGGTTATACGAAATGATGAAGAGGATTGAAGTAAAGATATGTATAATCAACCACTTAATAGATCTATATTTCTATACACTTCCATAGATTATAATTTGAGTTGTGTTATAGTTTATTCTTGCAAGGATTATATATACTACTTTTATAAAACCTTAACTTTTGCTTATCATACTGGATTCACTGGATTCATTTTCCTAATCAACTCGAAGGTGCCACAGCTATCGACCTCCATGCATACATTGGAGTAGAATGGATCCAAAAGGGAACCCATCTATGAGAAGCATTCGATCTCTAACTCTTCATAACTTTTGAATTCAAAAAGGATGATATTGGTCTCTTATCACGCAGACCATGGCTTAATTGCAAGAGTCCTTCATAAACGCAGAACGAGTTTTAAGATAAGAATAGGCTTGCCACTTCTTGTTTTGTTTGTCGACAATAGTAACACAGACACTGTTTATAACTTTTTTCTTTTGTGCCGTTTAATGCTCGAGCTCAAATTATTTCCTTCACAGTCACATTTTTGATTTAAAATTTATCTATCAACAATTTTGACTCTCTAGTAGTTTTGTGTTCAATACACGAAAGCCAGGCAAGGTTTTTGATTTACTTTTGGGCAAGTCTAAAGATTTTCCAGTCAGTAAGAAATCGAATGGGGTGCATGATAAAATTAGTTTTGACCTGTGAGCATTTATCGATGAATTGTTCTTGCTTTGGTTCTATTTGCGTTCTTAATCAAACCCAAAGTCTGACATTTTGTCTATGTTACCAGAATATAATTCTCATTCAGCTTGACTATCATCATCACTCAAAAAAAAAAGATCGAGTTTACTTGTCTCCTGTACAAGACGTTGCCAATCTACCGGAACATAAAAATACTACAGCGTTTTTCAGCACATGAAAATTGTTCCCTAATTCAAAAATATTAGGAAATATTCTGTACAGGTTTCGCATAGTGATTTTGCAATGAAAAATTCGTATCTTCTTGAGGATGATGTCATAAACTAAAAGTGAGATGATAATTGAAATGTTCCCACAACTGAATCATCGTATGATAGTCAAAATATGAAATTTATACTGTAGAAAGTTGACGATCAGAAGAATAACTATGTGACAGGATGTAAGACTAGGTTACTGTAATGTCTATTTATTTGACAAATAAGTTTTATCCTGGATCAAAATCGTGTAATCAATATTTCTCTTTAACAGTCGGACAAATGAGTTTAATTACGCCATACTGTTAGGAAGTGTCATATCAACAGTTGTCCTCTTTCAAATATACATTTTCTCTTCACTCGATGGTTATTTTCCCTTTCTGTTCTTCTGTAATATGTAGTCACTCTTCTTTCATATGATATATGTTTTCTCTTTCTGATCGATCTTCGATGGGTATTTTTCATTTCTATTCTTCTATCTCTCTCTCTTGTACAATATGTGTTTTTCCCAGTTTCCCTAAGAGATCTTCCGGTAACTAAAAATATACTATATATAGTTGTTAATTTACTGAAATAAAGTGTGTGTAACAGTTACATTCTTCTTTGGCTATTAACCATTGGATGCAAAACAATTCCGAAAGGAATAACCTCAGAATACTCTCTATGAATACTCTCTATGATATTTGTATAAAGTCTGAAGTTAAAAGATTGTTGTCAAACATTTCGTAAGTTACAGGAAAAGCATATTATTTACTGGTACTGTTTCAGTCACTTGTTTCTGACAATATCAAATTTGTTTATGAAGGAAATAGTCTGGCCAATATGTTTAAACTAGCGTCATGCTTCATTCATATACTTCTTAAACAAGGACGCTTTTATTATCTCGTTTTAAATAAACAAGAATATAGGCGTTTTTTGTTGAAAGTTGCATTTGATCACGCACTTCACTGATATAATCATCATTGAATAAATACCATTTATCGAGGTGTTTTGTGAATGTGACATAGTGTCCAGAGGATAGTGTACCTGAGTGACAACAAATGGCAACTAATTCATACAAAAATTGTGCATTATTAGTATTGTCCGTGACATATTTAGTTAGATCCAATCTGTCAAGAGGATATTCAATGAATGTAGTGATTTTTTCATTAATCGATTGTTTATCATACATAAATCGCTTCAGAAAGATGACAATGATAGGTGGTAATGGAAAACATAGATCAGACTTTTGTTTAGCACGTGTCAGTTTATTACATTTTGAACAATTATATTGATCATCTAACGTATCTTCTTTGAAAAAATCATAAAACAAATCATCTAATGTTAGTTTATTGGGTGGTTTGGGTTGTTCTTGCTCTACATCTAATAAAAATTCTTGTTTCTTACAAGTTATATACAATTGTCCAAATGAAGTATTAACAGCCATTGTTAGACTTTCTAAGTAATCAATAGAATCATCCTCGCGAAAAAGATAGTTTTTATCGTAATCATCTGTCCAAAATATTTTTAAATCAACTTGATCGACTGTTTTAAGATGATTAATAACTTGTAACAACTGCTCACGAAGATCAATTCCTAGACCATTATATTTCGGTCTACAGAAAACAACTGGTGGACGAAAATATGACTGTTTGTCGTCAACAAGAAAGTAAAATGGAAACAACTTTGTTTCACTGCGTATTGAACGATACGGTAATTCAAAAAATGTTATTCGATTGCTGTGTAGATGATGTAACCGCAATGTTTTGTCATATTGTTCTATTCCATAATTATTCGTCAATCGTACGGGCAGAATACGATTGATTTCAGGCACATCTGATTCATTTGGTATTTCATGCAGATAGTGATCAATGAAACTTTCAATTAAATTTGTTATTGTTCCATTCGATGGTGTATCAACAAGAAATATCTGTCTACTACAATCTACTTTTAAATAGTCGATTTCAAATAAACGCCGTTGTTGTTGCTGTTTTCTAATTGATAATGGAATAAAATTCATTGGCTCAATTGTTGTTGATTCGTTCAATTGACATTCAAGACACTTAACCGTTGATTTTACTTTACAATAAAATAAATCACTGATTCTTGATGATTTGTTTTTAGTCTGCTTTATTAATTCTTGATGAAGTGCATCCATTAAATAGTTCATAAATTCTTGTGCATCTTTTTGTCTATAATCGGAAAATATTGGAGCAAACCGACTTATCTCTTCTTTTAAATGTCTTGGAGTTACATAAGAGTGTTCGCCAGACCACATAGATTTGGTTAGATCAATATAGGCTCCGACAACACCTTTTGGTTGTTGATTATCGTTGAATGTTAATGTTTGAAAATAGTTCCGCATTTGTGGTATAGCACTTAAACATTGCAGTGCACTATTCATGAAACATGTATTACCCATATTTATTAAACCACATAAGCCAGGCGTATAAGGTGGATTAAGAATTTTTTTTATTGTTGCCACAATAGAATTTATATCTTGTTGTTCACTTTTTATAGGATATATTATGTTCTGCTGTCGTTGTTTTAACTCATCATCGGATAGTACATGAATAGATATGAACGACTCGTCGCCAAAATGTAAATTAGTCAGAGTATATTCTTCAACGTCTTCATCATATTCTGTCCATGAATGTTCGGCATCATTACGTAGATATAATTGTACATTGCGTGGATTTACCTTTAAATCGAAGTTTTTAATCAAATATATTTTTAAAGAACGAAGACTTGATGTAGTAGATATTGGAATAGTATGATATTTATTAGTTAAGCGTCCAGCTGTACATAATCTTAAGTTTAACATATTGTGATCATGTCGACGGGTCATGTCATTAATATCGATTGTTGATTTCTGCGAGACGGTTTCGATATTAATGCAAACATCATTTTGTTGATCTAATGCTTCACCTATTGTCTCATGTTTGTTCTTTGAAAGTATTGGAAACCATTTTCTACTATTCTTCTCATAAAAAGTTAATCGTATTTCATTGGGTTTTCTGTTTAGGTGGAGTTCACTGATGATTCTTAATTTTAAATATTCAAGTGAGTCTGTAGAATTAGCTACCAGAGAGACACAGTTTTGCAATGACCGATGAGTTTTACATATTTTCAAAGTTAATGAGTATTGTGATTTTGAACTTTGAGAAAATCCATTGGATGGATACAACCCGTTTCGAATCGATTGATCTTCGCTGCTCATAATACAGAGATGAATTGTCTTAATAGGATATGATATATTATCAAACGTACTGAAAAGCACTACATGTATCAGACAAAGCGATATCTAAAACTGAAAATAGACATAAATCACCCATAAAATTGTCTACTATTCGGACTGAAATTAATTAATGATCGAATAAATCATACCACTTAACAGGCTTGTTGAAGCTCATTCATAGAATTCAAATATTGTTTGCGTGTTTCCAGACAAAAAAACTTGTGAGAAACGTTATAAAAAAACGTATTAGGAAATGATTGATAAACGAACCTCTTAAACGCGTCTCAGAAAAATGCGCTAAATGTTTCTAAACAAATGCTTTCGAAAACTTGTTTCACAATGGAATAGATTCCTAAACTGAAAAATAGGAGACTTCTAGACAAACATTTTTCGTTATTTCTGATAAGAATCTTATCCGACTCTATTCGGATTCTTACATAAGAAGTCCACGCGAAAATGGCAAGAATTTCGTATGAATCCGATGAGAATCAGGTAAGATTTAAATAAGAATGAGCTATGACTTTGATAAGACGCTCCTATCACTTTCTTATCTTTTTCGTTATGAAATTCTTACTAAAAGACAATCACCGTTTTATTTTGCAAAAGCACATACTATATAAGCTCTACTGATGTCTTGGAAATTTTTTCAAAGTTTCTTCAAAGTAGGTCGTTTTGAGAATGCAGCGCGATCTCTTACATTCTCACTAGTAAACTATACAGCTAACTAAAGAAAGAAAAAGAACATCGGAAGGTTTTGTCAGTTCTTGCCCTTTTCTTGTCGAATTCTTACAGGATTTTCAACTGATTCTTATCTGCTTTTTATCAAATTGTTGCCACTTTCATGCGGAGTTCTTATGTAAGAATTCAATAGGATCCTTATACGTTTCTTCTACGAATTCTTATAAGTTTCTTATGAGATTCCTGTCAGATTCTTTTGTAAGAATTGTTCACTATGGCTGCAGAAACAAAGTTGACAGTTGAAACTTTAGTACTCTCAACTGTTTTTATTTTTGAAGAGTTTCGAAACGCGATCGTTACTTGGCCCTTTTAATGTCATGCATATTCACCGGAAAAAAACAGATTTACTAAAACGACTTTTCAGACAAATAGATCAAAGAAAGGTATGTTCAACCATCATTTAAAAAATAGTTAGCTTTGAAACGTATATCACGTTCTTCTGTCAATTTTTTACCTGATCGAATTATAGCAAAAAGTACTGAAAAACGGCTCAAAAACGAGGTTTTTCAATTTTAGAAACCCTATAACTCGGTGAAGAAAGATCTAAAATAAATTCACAAAATATGAATCTGCGATTACCTTGAGTACCTCTGATAAAATATTTAAGTCGATCGGATGAGATTTAAGGGAGGTCCTAGCGTGACACACTATAAATCCGAGTTTTCTGAAAAAAAAGTCACGAACGATAATAGCTGAAAACGGGAAACAAAAATGAAAAAATATTCCATTGAGTTTCCAACCAATCCTGGAAATATGAAGCCTTAGTCATCTTTAATTTTTATTTGACAGGATCCCTACAGAAAGCCTAAGAACAGGGATGGGTACCCTTAGGACATTAAAACACTATTCACATATCAAAACATCAAATACATTTGTGCTTAAAAACTAGATATAAACGGAACATTAACACTCAATCCCCTTTTTTAATTTGTCTCTCCGAGTATCCAAAAAGTTCTTACAATAAATTCAAATAGTCGCTATATTTCACATCTATTTTCATTCGTGTGTGGGTGCCTGTTTGTTGAACTTCATTTTCGGTTTTATCAATAATCAACAACCTTTTACTCTTTTATTCGTGAACTTTTTGCGAACATTCTGCATATAAAGTTTTCCATTTCATCATATGTCTACTTTGTATTTCGCTACGACTCGGTTAATTGTTTAGATCATTTTTATCTCGAAATTTCCACCCCTCATGAACTTAATTGCATTTAAAATAACTCTGAAAGTTGAAGAATATCAAAACTTACTTGAGTTTTCGGATTGGGTAGTAAAGGGTAGCAAAAACTTACTTATTATACTTTTGTACAGATTTCGACTGAGAAGTTTGCAGTACTTCAAAAGCAACATCTGTCTATTTTCTCAACAACAGGTAGATTCGAACCGACATCCATTCTTTTTAAATTATCGAAATTCCTGCTTGTCCTCCGACTCTCTCACTAAGAATTTTTTATTTCGTTTCTTCAATAAACTTTCTTGTAGAGGACGAAACCAAAGACTTGGTAAAATTTGGAACGATGAAATATTCTTGAAGAGATGGAGCTTTTTTGGGCGAATTCCGTACTCTCTTTCTACGTACTTACGACCGTGCATCCATATGTGATTGATGACCTAAGGGTTTAAACTCAAAACATTGACGCCTTTTACTGTTAGAATTTCATCTATTTTGTTTAAAAAGATTCGACCATGTAATTTTGCTAAGCAAACAGGTACGCTTTTAGTCATCACGCACACATATATTTTCTCATCATGTGCGAAAAGATGTATGTGTCTGTGCAACTCGAATCGAAGGCAAGAGCAAGAAAGAAGAATGTTAATTTTCTTTTCTTTCACCTTTAAATATTCTTTTTACTTTCTTTCTTTCGTTTCTTGTTCTACCATGTAATATTAACGAAAGAAAATATCATATTTATATTATTTTTGTTGTGAAGTTGATCTATTTGTTGTTAAATGTTCGAATAAGTACTTTTACCTTGAAACATTAGAAAATTAGGTGCAAGCTCCGCGCCGGACGAAACTTTATGGAACTAAGGTGGTATATGCAGAATTTCAAGGCGAATCCGACAGCAGGCTTTTTATAATTCCATCTTGAGTTTTTCGTGTTGCACCACAGTTTTTACATGAAATTATCTTCTATACCATTTTTAATATTTTCCTTTATCAAAAACAATTGCTCATACAACTTTTTTCACCAAAAAACTCAAGATTATAACAAAATGTTCTATGACATTTTTTATTCAACAGGCTAAAAGAAATAGAATGAGATCGGGAAGTTAGAATATTTTGTTATAATCTTGATTTTTTTGGTTAAAAAAGTTGTATGAGCAATTGTCTTTGATAAAGGAAAATATTAAAAATGGTACAGATGATAAATTCATGTAAAAATTTGAGTTTATCACTGTTTCTGCTTGAATTGAACTTTCAGGCGTTTATATAAAAGAAACTGAACTTAGAATAAATTTTGTTCTATCTGTTATTCGATGGTCGAATGTATTTCCTATATAAAAGAGAAAAACAGACAAAATGTGCGCATGGAAAGGAGAAAAGAGAGAAGAAAAAAGTGACAGAACAGAAAAACAGCCTAAATTCACTATAAGAAATCGTAGAGACTGTGGTGCACACATGAAATACTCAAGATGAAATTATAAAAAGCCCGCTGTCGATTCGCCTTAAAATTCTGCATAAACTACCTTAGTTTCATAAAGTTTCGTCCGGCGCGGAGCTTGCACCTGATTTTCTATTAAATATTAAATCTATTTTGTGGCATGTTAACATATTCTTATAATCCAAAAGAAAATAAATTTTAAACTATACCTTGTTTGTATTCTACATTATGTTGTATTATATTGTTTTCTATTTCGTTCTTTTGATATTTTTTACTGTTTGTGTTCTTTATATATCTCTGTACTGATGATCAACAGTCATTTTCCTATTCTACACCTTACTCACATTGTAAATGTCCTTTTTATAAAAAAAAAGATTTAATTCATCATCAACTACATCATCCACTATTCTACCGTAAAAAATTTGATTAGATTTGCCGCAATACGCAACTCAATTTGGACTTTCCTCCTTTCTCTACAATTTTCAGGTCCTCTGAATACTTCTGCTAATAATATTCATCCCAAAAAATATGACATACCCATGTATGAACTTGAATGCTGCTGATAAACATGTTGTACTACAACGTTCTTACTTACTAATTACTCTAATTCTGCCAATTTGAAAGATAAAAATAAAATTAACTAGAATGAATCACTCTTCGCTTTTATGCCAGTTTGAAGTACGCGAGTTCTATCTTATGCCAAGCTATTTTTTAAAAATACCGCGCGGTATTCGTTTTTTCCCATTCATCGTTTTGTTTTGCAGCCATATTATATAAGAAACACAGAAATTTCGAAAACCTTTGATTTTCTATTTCAGATTATGTCTTTAGATTCACGACTCAGCGGAGTGTGAACTCTGACTTGAGTAAATTTTCTTCCAGAAAATTTGAGCGCTGGATAAATGACCAAAACGAAATAAAGCTTGAAAACAGTTTCGAACTCACGTTCTACGAATTCGTAATGAGAAAAGTAACCACGGTTTGAAGAAAATACCCCTCGGTAACCATGCGATTATTTGTGCTTTTACAAAGCGGTAACCTCATGGTATTTTGCCGGTATTGAGCACATGGAAACATCTGTGCCTCCACAGTTGTCTTGGATTTCCTGCACACCAGTAGCCAGGAAACATTAAATAAATTTAATAAAAGAAATCAAAGGTTATTTTTACATACTTATGTAAAAGTAATATAAACTCAGTCAAGTGAAATTTTAATGTATTATGTTTTGTCATATGAAATAAACGGTTTAGGATCGGGATGTTTGTTATAACTTATATAAACGTCGAATAAACTATATTTATCTCACAATTATTCGAAAATGTCTGCTAAATTCGTTGAATCTATACTCGTGGTAAAAGACAACTAAATCATCTTGGGCTCATATTGTTTTAAACGTAAAAGTCAAAATCCGGAATACTGGGTATGTGTACAATGCAACGCAACAGCAACAACTTATCCAGATAAATGCACTACATCCTAATATTTACGTTTTTATTGATTTGCTGTAGAAAGAACAATCGTTAACAAGATTACGGGATAATATGGATGCACCAGCTCCAAAACATCGAAAAAATAAGATAATAACAGATGAATGTTTAGTAAAATTACGGCAACGTTATGAGGACGAACGTATTGATATTGCAAATTTCTTAAAGACTGCTGGTATGAGATATTTTCAATGTGCTTCCAAAAGTTGATTTCCATACTTTTCTATGTTCTATTTTTCTTGCATATTCTTCACGTACGTCGACTAATAAATTGTATACCTTTCCAAATTAACGGAAATTATATACTGCTTAATTGTTATACATATTTTAGCTAATTATTGGAAAGTAAATCCATTATAGCAAAAAAGGCATATATCTCTCCTTTTCTATAAGAAAAAGCTAATTAAAATAAAAATTAATCGTCGGAAAGTAAATCCTGCAAACCCTTAAAAACTAGGTTCAGTTATGTAACAAAAATAAAATGTCTTTTACAGGGTCGAAAAAAATGTTTTTCCAGAGGGATACCGCTCAAACTACAAATGATATCACAGAGTATTATATATCAACTTAATGCCCATTAAAAATGAAATTTATGAGTATACTCGATAGTCCATACAACGATTACTGGCTCTTGAAATATGAAAATTTCTTGAGTCCTATGGTTAAACGCGCTTGTGTTTTACGATTTTCATTCTTCTGTTATACATTTTTTCAAAAATAATAGCAGATTCGTGATCTCCATCAAAAACTGAATCTATAGACATGTCATTTGTATATTTTTGACGAAAAACATTTTTTCGAAAGAATCCTGGGGAGTACCCCAGACAAAAATTTTCAAAAAACTTTTTGAATTTAAGTATCTTAATTCATACCTCATTCGACGCAGTTTTTGATGGAGATTACGAGTTTGATATTATTTTTGATGAAAAATGTAATAAAAAAAGCGAAAATTGCAAAATATGAGCACGCATACAAATGGTATAGATTTTACAATGCTGGGTTGATAACTCCCAGAAGATAAAAAAGTTTGATAAAATCGTTCCATATTTTTATTGCTCTTATCATCAGTAAGGTTCTCTACAAATATCATTAGTTTACAATTTGGTTTAATGGTGCCAGATCAATCTTCATACACATACATTTCATTTTTTGAAGATGGCATCATCTGTCAAGCTTTGGCCTTCAAGAATGATGATTATATCATTTGTTTGCCGTGTTTGCCCTTCTGCTCTCCCGTTCCTCGTTCGTGTTTCTGTTCTCCTTTGTGTTTGGGTGATGCGAATAAATACACACTCACGCGACAACTTAGACTTCATATCGACATTGTTTTTCCGTTTAAATGTTTGTTCGTTTTAGCCTCTAACGTTTGTGCGTGGCTGTGTGCTCTTGCCTTGTTTTAGCAGCGTGATCCTTTCATGCGTTCGTATCTATTGCTATTTTTGTGCTGCACAAAAAAATGATCACAACAGAGATTTGTCATGATTGGTGCTAGACTGTTCATGCATCGGGGAGCTCTCTTATACTTTTTATAAAAATATATGTAATTTGTAGACTCGTGGTGACGTTTACTGAATTTATTTAACTTTGCATAATGGCTGGAACTTACGACAATGAGCATCAGAGAGTCATCGACCGGATAAAATGCATTGTTTTCCGTGAGGCCCGTGATGTCGGTGCAGCATTTATCAATCGAGAATGGGTAGCAGGAAAAGTTCATCGCACGACACGATTGTTACTAAATGGTGGAAGAAGTCATACGTTGAATGTTTTGCTGATTATTCAGAATGTAGTCGCAACCTCAAGTTATCACAAGAGAGTCAAGCCATCATTCTCAATGCCAGCGCAAAAAACGAAAAAGTTCCTCTGTCGTGGCAAAGGAAATCGCCGAAAAACAAAAAGAATACGTTGATCAAAGAACGATCACTAACTACAGTCATAGAGCGGGATTCAAGCCATTTCATGTTATTTCAAAACCATTGAAGATGGAAACTCATATTCCCAATCGTTTGAGGCTCTGCGACTGGCTAAAGAATTGGACTCGAGAGGATTCTTTGCATCTCGCGCCAGCAGATGAATTTTATGTTCGGACTATGCGCAAGCCAAATCATCAGATTGATAAAGTTTGAGCAAAGCGTGTCGAAGATATCGAAAATGATCAAAGATATCGGGTAATCGTTTCATATCCAGTCTGTATTGGTATTTTTGTCATTTTCACCACGAAAAAAATGCACTGGTTGATTAAAGATAAAGGTCAAACTTGGGATAGCGAGTATTTTCGTGAGACAATTTTAAAAAAACATGTATTCCCTTTCCTCAAGAATGAAGAAAATGTAATCGACACGAATGAGGTAGTTTTTGTTCATGACAAAGCACCGTGTATGAAAGCAAACATGACACAACAATTGATTCAGGACAACAATATTGGTTTTGGGGGTAACAGCATTTGGCCCGGAAATTCATCAGATCTCAATGCTGCTGAACATATTAGATCAATAATGAAAGATGAAGTTGAAAAAAGAATCTTATCATTAACTGGATCTGGCCAATACTCTCAAGAAACGCTGGTGAATCAAATTTCAGATGTCATGGAAACAGATACTGACCTTTTTCAGACTCTGTGATGCTCCTATCCATCACGACTTCGTGCTATAAAAAAGGCCAATGGTGGCCATACTGATTATTGATTGTACTCATGAAACCGATAAAAATAAACATTAGTTTGCTAAAAACATGCCCCCAAGCCTCCGCTTTCTTATGGCGAAAGCCGGAGCTCTCTAGCTGGCTTCTATCAAAAGTTATTAAAAAACAACGGAGTCCATTCTATTTTGGTACAGACAGTAGTAAACTATACAGCTAACTAAAGAAAGAAAAAGAACATCGGAAGGTTTTGTCAGTTCTTGCCCTTTTCTTGTCGAATTCTTACAGGATTTTCAACTGATTCTTATCTGCTTTTTATCAAATTGTTGCCACTTTCATGCGGAGTTCTTATGTAAGAATTCAATAGGATCCTTATACGTTTCTTCTACGAATTCTTATAAGTTTCTTATGAGATTCCTGTCAGATTCTTTTGTAAGAATTGTTCACTATGGCTGCAGAAACAAAGTTGACAGTTGAAACTTTAGTACTCTCAACTGTTTTTATTTTTGAAGAGTTTCGAAACGCGATCGTTACTTGGCCCTTTTAATGTCATGCATATTCACCGGAAAAAAACAGATTTACTAAAACGACTTTTCAGACAAATAGATCAAAGAAAGGTGTGTTCAACCATCATTTAAAAAATAGTTAGCTTTGAAACGTATATCACGTTCTTCTACCATTTTTTTACCGCATCCTTGTACTTGCATTTTGTTAAGGGTACCCCATCCCTTTTTTTTCGGCTTTCCGTAGAAATGTTGTCAAATAAAAACTAAAAGTGACTAAACCTTCATGTGTGCAGAACTGATTGGAAACTCAATGAGTATTTTTTCAATTTTGTTTCTAATAGTAGAATTCATAGAAATAAAAAGACGGACTGTTTTCCGATTATGACCAGGACGTTTCCCGTTTTAGTGTGTCATAATTCAAAATTTCATTATAAAAACTTTTCTTTATCTTCGAAATACATTTAGTTAACTTTAAAGGATTATGAAATATTGAACAATAGTGCTGATATTGCTAAACGTTATCTAGACAATTTGGCTGCAAACGATAGTAAAATGATAAAAACAGGATTTTATTAAAGCGTAAGTATTCATTAATCTTTAACCGTCATAGAAGTGTGCTTGTTTTCCATTGAACAGAATCTAACTGATATTTTTGACTTTATTTACAGAATGTAAAAAGGTCCATAAAAGTCAGTTTTCTCATAGTCATTCATAAATTGCTATTCTTCAATATATGTGTAGGATATTCGTTTGAGAAGCTTCATAAATGTATTTTATACCTTTTGCTATTGTAATTATAGATAAAATATTCGTTGTCAACATAGGAATCTTCATTCAGTATTTCAATCAAGTAGAATACAAGGTACAAAAAAAATAATAAACAAAATTGTAAAATATAAAAGTTTTAGTTTTTAACGTTCACAAAGTGAAAAATATAGACTGCCGCTTCTGAAATAAACGAGTCACTTTCCACCATCGTAAGTACAGAAGAAATTTTGTGAAACGCCTCTTATATCTCCGAAAGACAGAGAGTTGCAGTTTGTACTCGAAAATCCTTGATTTTGGCCATTTTCTTAACCTCCTCTCCGATGGTCACAACCTCTTAAATCGGTAGTCACATCGTCTTAAACTATCCAACAACCTTCGAGGAATTTTACCATTTTAGCTCCATAAGGCACGGACCAAAGAAAGCTTTTTTCCATAAATGACGGGTCCGCATAAGGTTAACAACCAGTCCACTCACTTTTTCACTAATAATGGTTTTGTACAGAGCAAAAAACTACCACTATACATTTGTTCATTAAAATTCCGTCAATTTCTCTACAATATCATCCCAAGCGACACTCTCAAAACACAAGAAAGTTTGGTTCATAAACTTTTTTCAAACAGTTTGCTATAATGAGTATCTATAACATTGGTTTTTTAATTAATCTGCCTGGTTTTTTTCTACCGTCAGATGCTTTTTGATCTGAATAAAAGATACAGCGACATTATCGTGAATACAGAAAACAACATTTCCAATAAATAATTGTTCGCGGTAAAGACGAATAAATGAGGCCGCTTTTGTATTTGTACATCATGTTTTCAAACTTAACTGAAGTTACGTGGTGACTAGTCATTATCTGACACAGTCACAGATAGCCAATTTCGCACCGTGAAAATATGTTTGTGTGAAACTACTTTTCGAACTCACTCACAATGCCCTCCCCATCTCCCGCGATATGGCATACAAAATACAAAACCAGGCTCATTTATTCTTCTTTTCCAATAAACCAGTCTTCGCGTTAATGTCGTGGCACGACAGAATAAATGAGCTTGCTGAATGTGAAATGAAATAAATCGCTTCTCTAGAAAAAAACCATCATATTTTGATATGCGTCACGGAATAAAAACCAGTCCATCAATCAAAGGAGGTTAAAAAGACGCATAGAAATGCATAGGTTTTTGGTTAATCTTGACTTGGTTTTGTGTGTGAACATAGTCCCAAGCTAAAAAAAACGACCCTGCATCGCTTTTTTTTTCTGCTGGGAAAGTTACTAAATGCAGCTAGATAACTAGATTTTTTTTACTCATTTAGCTAGATGCTGCTGCTGGAGCATCGACTTATCTAGCTGCATCGCCCGATGCATCGACTGTAATCCGCAAAATAAAAAGGTGAATGCCTCATTTCACCGATATCTGGCGACATTTGTGCGATACACTGATCGATGTATCTAGAAGTGCATCGAGCGATGCATCTAGATAACCCGATGCTCCAGTAGTTGCATCTAGCTAAATGAGTAAAAAAAATCGGCCGATGCACCAGCAAAGGCATCTAGATATTTCTGCTAGAGAGGTTTTGCTTGGGGTCTACAAAAAGAGTCCAATATCTCAAAACAGATGGAAACTTGAAAAGAACTTCTGAGACTTTTCTTAGTAGGACGAAATCTTTTATTCGCTAGGTAAAATGTTAGTCGACGTAGATTTTGTCCAGAAAGTTTCAGGTACAAACCCGCATCAAGATTTTATGTGATATTTAGAACATTAAATTGCAAAAAGTAGCGTTCGTTTTACTAAATGCAATCAATCAAAGCTTTGTTTTACAGTCAGACAAGCGTTGAAGACCACATCGAAATTTTTAAGTAACATTTTGCAAAATTCATAGTTCTTCAGACGATCAATGTACAGAGTTGAGAAATGTCTTATTTTGTAGCGTAAAAATTTTTCTTTCAAATGGTAATTAAGCAAAATCTAGCTCTAACCTAAACGCCTGTTTATGATTCTAACAAGACTCTTTTGTACGGAAGTGCCCTATACCTAAAACATTATGTCACTCAAAATAGTCAGCTGCTAGACTTTGTTCAATTACTGTTTGTAAGAAAAATCTTTAAGCTACAAAATAAGATGTTCCTCAACTCTGTACATTGCTCGGCTGAGGAGCTATGAATTTTACAAAACGTTATGGACTTACGTAAAAGTCAAACAAGCCCTATAGTCAAATCTCCCTTATTTATGTATGTTACTGCACGTAACGTGCACTTTAGTATGGATTTTTTAATGTTAGATTTGCTTGGCCAAAACAATGTCAAAATGCGTGATTTTGCAAAATCTTGATAAAAAATTTCAATATGGGAGTTGACTAAAGACGGGCACTTCTAGATGAGGGAGTTACCGTGTCCATATCATTTTGCTCGTTAATTTTTATGATAAGTGCGAAAATGAATTTGCCCATGTCTTGCAGAAAGTTTATATCTGCACAAGATCTGTCAAGTTTCTTGATCTCAAATCAACAATTCTTGTCAACTTTTTTTGGAGGAATCTGCCTGCAAAAATCTTGATCAAGATCTTGACAAGATTTGAAAACTTTTCTGTAATGAACAAAATCTTTGCTAACAAAGAAAGTTAGCAATCATTTTAATTACGACATGACTCAGAGGTTCGACAAAAATGTAAATATGCTAACTTTGCATTTATTTATAGTTATTGTAGTACTACAGTGTAGAAGACATCTGTTAAAATTCTGTTGGTCGATAGTGTAAACAAATAAATGTGTTATTCTTTCAATCACCAGTTTGTTTGACATTGTTCATGCATATATAAGAATAAATATTTGCACTACAGAACATTGAAAATTTTGAAAGCAAACATTGTGTTTGAATGTATGGGTGTTCATGCACTTTTAACAGCTCTGGTACTGTATGCATAGCATTGTACAGTAGAAAAAAGTGAAAATATAAAGTAGAAAATAAAGTTTAAGATTTTCTTTCAAATTCCCAAATCTGTTAATGAAGATTCTGATTATTGCGTATTAAATTAATCATTTCAGAATTCTTGAAATATCTTGACAAGATCTGCTCAAGATTTATCACGACAGATTCTGATACGAAACTTGTGGAAAATTTGCAGCATTGCTTTCCATTCAGAATCTTGACAGATTTCAATAAACTGCACAAGTTCTTGAAAGATCTGGGGCGAAACTTGAGAAATCTTTAAAGATTTATCAAGATCTGCATTCAAGATTTTTCTCCTAGGTTGATTGTTTCTGTGAATATTAATGCTGACGATTCAGGTCGTAACTTCTGGATATAATGTCAGTGGAAATACTTTGTTACGCTAATCAAATGCAGTCTTCCGTCAATCTATAATATACATTGTACGCCTCTTGCTAGAACACACGTTATACTAATCATCCACGCGTAGCAATATATATTAAAAAGTTATCAGTAAAACTGATTTATTTTTTTGTACATGAGTATCTATAGATATCCCCGTTCTCCGTGTATGTGAGGCAGAAAAAACAAATACATTATTTATTTCTTCCTGTGGCTCTTTTCTCTCTTTCTCTCTATCGTGTATTTTTCTGATTCTATTGTATTGTAGTATTCTACTGAGTTAAGTTCAATGTAGGTTATCTTTTCTTGTTCTTCTTGTGCAACAGTAGAATATTTTAGTGTGTTGTCCTTCGCTTTTTTTTTGACTGTAGTACGAACAGCCGGTATGTATTATTTCTTCTGTAGGCTTACTACATTTCATGATGTCGTCATGTAACGATAAAATTATCCTCTATTCATGTTTTGTGCATGTTCCTTTTCACATACAAAAACTGACGTTGTCGCATGTATTTGATACTAAAACTTAGAATCAAGGTTGCATACTTGATATCAGCTAGTAGATCCAACCCATCTTTTAATTCTAGCTTTAATTTCTGTTTGAATTTTTCTTGATGCCATTGATCAAAACAGCACCAGTCTCGTCAAATAATGACATGGGTAAGCATGTAATGAATTAGTGTATTTTTTCAGAAAGACAACTTTTGTTTATACACTTAGATTTCACGACGTTGCTATCACTACCAAATGAGTTACTCGATTACATTTTCAAGTATATATCGTCAATAGATTTAGTCCACTCATTTGTTAATCTCAAACATCCTCGTCTAAATGCACTCATTTATCCATTTGTATCACGAATAAATTTATCTCAAGCACCGAATCAATGGCTGCAAGAATATTTGTCACATATTCAGCCATTGACTACTGCTATTCAACTTGATGATGATCAATTAGATGTAATATTTCCTGAAGCAGTACTCGACGTGTATCCCCAACTTCAATCTGTTTTCTTGTGTAATATACCAGATGAAAATGCTAAATGTTTTCTCTATTTGGAAACATTTAAAACACAATTATCAGTGTTAAAAATGGTCTTAACCGATTATGATGTTCAAACTCCGGAGCCACACTATTCAACATTATTTAGATCTGATTGTTCATTACAAACATTACTACTGTCTAATTTATTTTTACCTATTGAGAATATTCAACCAACATTGATCAAACATTTGACAGTGTATAATTTATATCGTTTTCATCATTTATTTCTTCTTTTCGAACATTTACCACTAGTTGAATATATGAAAATTAGAATAAATTCGCTTCCATACTCGACTGATGAATGTGATTATAAAATGAGTGATAATTTATTGTCAAAACAATTGCATACATTTGATCTTCAAATATCTTATTATCTTGACGAAAATATGTACAATTATCTTGAATTATTAATCCTACAATTTTTTACTTCATTAAAAAATTTAACAATGGATATTTTACTTAAAAATTTACTTAATGGAAAACGTTTAGAAAAATTTTTTAGACTAAAACAATTTCATTTTCGTATACAAATGATTTTACCGTCAGATAATCTGTTTGATATGTCAACATTTCCAACCGATTTACAAATAATTTCGTATACTAATCATCAGGAGAATACTCAAACCCTTTTAACATTGCCTAATACATTCGAAACTTTTGATCAAATATCTAGTGATATTGTTAACTATCATTCAAATATAAATAATCCTATTAAATTGATAAAAGTGAAACAAATTAAATTGTACGATACAAGATCCTATACATTGAAATTTTTCAATTTTATCAAGCAAACATTTCCGTGTATTAATACATTAGAATTTTTTCATTATTGTTATTTAACTGATGATATGATAAATGATGATAAAATTACATTAGATTCAATTCATTCATTATTTATTCATGCTTCACTTGACTATTCTCGAATTAAACGCCTTTTACTGTTAACACCCAATATTAAACATCTATCAACTTCTTACCAAACATTATTAATATTGAAACAAGATTTAGAAAATGATATTAATCATTATGAACGTTTACATCGAATATGTCAACAAATAATTACCTTAAATATTCGTTCGATGAATAAAGGTGAAATGCAAAGTATTTTTTTAAATGCTACGATTATATAATTATATCAAACAGTCTTAGACTTGAAAAATATATCCAAGTCATTTAATATTTTGTCTTTCTTTTTTACATCATTTGTAGATTTGTTGCTATAATATAAGTGAAAATACGTTATCTTTTTACGTAATCAAAACAGTTTAGTCTTTTTTTTATGCAAACGAACATAAATATTTTACCATTTTGTTTGCAAATTTATCTTTTGATTGGTAAAACATATTACAATAATTTCCTATAGAAATTTTCAAAAAAATAATAATTTCAAACATTCATTCTAAACGAGAATGCAAAAATTTTTCGGTGTGCGAGAAGGAAAGAGTGAATTATATATTGAGAAAATATGAACAAAATTAACTATGATAGCTGCTCATTTACAACAACAACTACCCGGCTTGTTCACCTAATGCGATACTTCGCTGATTAAGTATTCCATTGGAGAACTGATATGAGGCTATCATTAGATGTCGTTTTTTCATGCTGATAACAAATGTGGCCTTTTAAAAAATAAAAATTTAAATGCAAAAATTTAATTTTAAAATTTTTAAAAACTTTCATTTTAAATTACTCACCTACCCAGTTTCTTGAAAAAACTGAGAAATATATCATTCGATAAGGAATTAAATTCTCTACAAAATGACATATTTTTTTCGAAATTCTGAGATGAAGAACGGATTTTAAAGTGTACAGTCAAATTAAAAAGTTTAGTATAATTTTTTCATCTTTACCTTAAGATGGGTTGATAGTCCATGCCTAGGACTCAGATGGATATAACAATCAAGTTTCTTTTAGGACGTTACGTGTCTCAAAACTCTATGAGAAAAAACTGTGTCACAATGTTACTACTTTACAAAATCGACTTTCTAGGCGTAAGAGACATGTAAGTGCCTTGTATTCAGAAATCAGTGCCTTGTATAACAGACACTGCTTTTTCGTCTCGCCTAAAATAATAAGACAACTGTGCAGAAGGATTTGGAAAAAAGTCCTTTTTACTAAAAGAAAGCCCGTTAGTTCCTCTCCAAACTTGTCTCTAGAAACTTTTTAGATGCACAGCTCAATTCGCGGGAAAACAGAGCTGTATCGGGAGTTCTTAAAAAGTAGAAACCTTTTTTGTCACAGCGTTACTAGGCCTGTGATAGTTCATGGTTCCTGATACTGCAGTTTCTCGATAACGGGAACGATTTTTCAGTTTCCGTTTCTGAACTAAAAACCGTTCAACAGCTCACATTTCTAGCTGGGTTCATACCGGCCCTTCCTGAAAATATAGAGAAATATAGGATTTGAAAAAAGAATTTATATAAGACTTCTCTAGTAATATAGGACAAAATATAGGACGTCGCTTTTCACCAAAGCAACACCGTTAGTATGATGAAAAAACACCCGAGTACGATTGAGGTCATCTCTATGCAGGTCATCGACTTAATTGAATATGAACATGTGTTCAAATCGATGAAAATGTCAATACAATGAAGTTTACTTCACAAAAAAAACACAAAGGAAAAAAATGTTTAATATTCTGTTTTGTTGTGAATATGCGAAATATATCATCCACGTATCAAAGCTTACGTTAATAGTAATGGTTTATTGGTAGAAAATCTGTTTAACTTAGTTTCGAGTTTTGACATAAATAGGTCTGTAAGTATTGGTGCAAGTGGTGAACCCATTGCTGCTCCATTAGATTGCACGTAATTACTCATAAATTTAAATGGTACATCATAAACGGCTAATTCTACTAGTCTTTTCATTTTTTATCGACTGAACGATATATCAGTTATTTTCTTTCGTTTGTATAACATATCTGGTGCCATCTCAATAGATTCTTTTACACTGACACGTTGCTCCTACTGACAAAACTGTTTCTTTAATTTTCTTTGTCTTATACTCATATTTACACACTATATAATTAGTTATCATTTCTCGCTATGTTCATTTTCCTGATGATGATGTGTGAAAGATTTAGTTAAAATCTTATCATGTACTTTGTAGCCGTTTTATGCTCATCCTTCTCTTTCAAAAGCCCTTTAGTCATACAAATACAACAGTCAAGAAATAATACATACAATAGGTTACATGTTCTTTGTGGAAACGAGTGGCAATGTGTGTAGGAAAGCTTCTAGAGACGAGGAACGGTTCACTAGTTCTTTTTGAACTGGAAACTGCTCAGTGTCCTTTAGTGATTTGTTGATATATTATGTATTTCATTCCACAAACATAAGATTTTTGAAAGAGTGAGTATTGAAAAGAGGTATGCTCAAAGAGACTCCCAGATTAGGTGTTAGACTTTGCTGATTGAATTTAGTTCTTACTTCGTAAGATCTTGATCTACCAGCTAGCAATACTAGCTACAAGTGTAGCTAATAAAAGTACATTTTCGCAAGCTAATGATTTTACAAGGAAAAATCGACTATTATTAACTTCAGCAACAACGAGAATGTCTATGTTTTTGAAAGTCAAAGTATGAATGTTGATAGCTTTTACTATTTGGATTGTTAGTATCTCCGTGAATTTTTGCTCTGAAACAAGCACGTAAAAGAACGCCATCAGATAAACCGTCGTATTCATATTGAACCGTAAAATGCACTAACATGCTAAAGGAGATAGAACGCTAGTAGATTAGAAAAAAAAGCTCAAGTATATCACACAGTTCCCAGTTCAAAAAGAATTGTAGTTCCCATTCGCAGGAGCTGTAACTCCGGAACCATTCCTCGTTTTTAGAAACGTCAACTACTGAACCGTTCCTAGTTCAGGAATGGAAACTGAAAAACCGTTCCCTCTCACTGAACGCGAACTGAAAAACAGTTCCTCTGGTTTGAACGAGAACCGCGAACTGTCACAGGCCTAAGCGTTACTCGCAGAAAAATCTTTCTGGAAGCTTGAGTCTTGAATCGAAAATCTTCATTTTTATATTGTAAGTGGAGTTTGGTGAGCTGTGTCGAATGGCGTCAGAACGATCTTTCTAGTACCTACAGTTTTCGAGAAAAATGCAAATTACTATGTCAGAAATGTCACAGCATTACCTTTGGACAAGCGGTACTGTCTTTTTCAAATTATAAGAGTTCTGGTTGTTTTTGAATAACTTTTGATAGATATAAGATAGAGGCTTGCGAAAGAGAGAACATGAGGAGATATTTTCATCAGCACAAATATTTTCAGAAAGGTTTCTTAAAACAGATTTTCTAGGAGTTCATTGGGAAACCCGGTCGATTTTCAGATCTTCTCATAGGGTTAAACTGACTATTTTCGTAGATTGATAGTCCAGAGTGTCCTCTTCAAAATGAGAGTAATCTAATTAACTGTTGGGCAAAATTACATATTTTTTTTTAAAATTGTCGAAAAGAATACGCGGAAATAATTCTGTTTTTTTGTTTCGGCTTGAGAAAGATCAATAGAAATCAGGAGACTGAAAATACTTAAGCAGGATCATCGTTTTGAAATCTCAAAAATAAAAAAATCATCTTTGTATGATCGTAACGAAGCTCACGGGAATTAACTAATTAATTAAACTGTTCATCAGAGATAATTTAATTTTTTTCGGTCTTAGTCATCTGCATAGTTTGTTGACTTACGAACGTGTATGCATGTTTTAAAAGAATAAAAATTCAGATTGAGTATGTACTTTATTTACTTAATTATCTATCAATTAAAAACGTGGTAAGAAAAGTTGAATAATACTTAGATTATAACGATCATTCTCTATGCAAAAGTTTGTTGATGAGCCTCTGCTGTCTGTGATTGTTTCAGAAAAATTCTTTATAAACTAGATGCACAGCTTGACTGAGTGATTTGCGTGTAGTTTTAAGTGCTCTTCTACAGTAATAAATTCAACTGATTTTAGGGTATTGGTTCAGCGTCTTCGCGCAGGTAATGGTGGAGCAGAAGATGGTTGAAACTGAAATAAACGAAATCATCGGCTAGTATTTCTAAAAATTAGTTCATTGATAATATATACCCTTAAATGATTTGCTGGTGCATCTGCTTCTAAGTATTCGTCTGATGTCTTGAAAAGAAAAGAAAATAAAGTTGAGTCAGTTACCGTATTAAGGTTTTAAATAAGAAAAGCAGAATGTGTTAAGTCTTTTAGTTCGTTCTTGCACTAGTGTGGCTCGAACAGACAAAAAATGTGTGATAAACTAGCACTTACCGATGGGACTTTTCTTGAAGGTTGATCAAAATTACCCTCGTCCTTAGCAATGTACTTAAAATGCAACAAAAAGATAACAGTACAGTAAAGATGGTATCTAACATACCTTTATGGCTGATGAATTTTTCTTTTTAAAACAACGGTCACGAATTTGTTTTCGAAATTTAAAATAAGCTATGAGTCCACCAATTATGATTGCAACACCAATAAGCGAACAGATAACGATGGCTGCAATCTCACCACCACTAAGACCGGGACGAGAAGGCGAGCCACTTGTATTTGTTGAAGATATTGTAGTATTGATATCTATCGTCGAACTGATCGTCGAACTGATCGTCAAACTGATTGTCGAACTGATCGTAGTGCTTGAGTCATTGTTTATGGTGGAGACTGTCGTAGTTATGGCATCCTCAAAAGAAGAAAACTTACTTCTTTAAACACGTGAGAAGCTCTTGATCCACTGTTAGTGGTAGGAGCTTATCTGTTCCGTGTGATTATATTTAGAGAAAAAGAACATTAGTATGAATTAAGAAAAATTTCTCATAAAGAAAATATTCATAAAGCAGAAGATTCTAAGCTGAAAATGCTAAAAAATATTTAAAATAGATAAAATCAGAAAAGTTTTCGAAAAATTAGTAGAGTGGATCACGATTTCCTTTCGGTTTATCGAAAAGATACATTGAACACCGGCACATCGACTACATATAGATGTACTATAATAACAATATATAACATAAAAAAATAAATTAACATTACAGCGAGACTAGAAAACAAAGTGTTGTAACAGGTTCTATAGTAAAGAATCATTTTACCACAGACTACTCTACTCGGACGGTCGAATGAATATGAATATGACATTCTTTCCTA